ACAAGAAACTTAAAATTTAGAAACAAGATGCAAATTTGTGGGATGATCCTAATTATGTAGAAACCGTGAACAAAAACATATGCATATATATATAGAAAGAAAAACAATCATATAATCTTTCTTGGTCCTTTTTCCTTTTCAAGTTTATACTGCTAATATATTGGTAAGAAGGTTATTTTACAACAATGGTTCTAATTTTTTTTTCCTTTATGTTCTTAAAATTCACTGATGAAGGGCCAAGCAAATAGCGCACCAGGCTAAAATACCTGCTTAGGCAGGGCACAGCAGCTGGGGTTCAACTTCCAGCATGCCATGCTGGCCCCGCCCATGGGGTGTGCTAGTCGTGGCGTGCCCCTGTAATCCCAGTGCTTGGGAGGCTAAAAATGAGAGAATCATTACAAGTCTGATCTACGTAGTGAGACCCTGTAGACTCTGTCCTAAAATACATGAAAAACCAAAAAAATCACTGACAATTGCAGAGCTTTTGTTTACGGTTTATATTTATTTATACTTAAAGATAAAAATTAAAACCTAGTAATACATTAATATATTCTTATGAAAAATGAAAAAAATTTAGTGAGAAAAGTTGCAATGTTTCATAATAAAAAAAATCTCTACACGGTATAGCTTAACAGAAAAGTTACCATCTTATATCTGATGTTGCATTCAATTTATTTCCAAGTGTCATTTTATTTGAAGCATGTAAGAAAAAGCTGACCTCACACACAACACATACAGTTGGAAAAGGAAGAGTTTTATCAGTTTTTGATAATTATGGATATTCACTATTGATGTTACACCAAAATTCTACACATGGTAGGGTTCTTAAAAGTCACTTATAAAGCAACTTTAGAAAAAGAAACTGGGCAGGCCAAATAGCTCAGCAAATTAAAGCGCCTGCAAGCAGGTGCAGGGGCTAGGGGTTCGATCCCCAGGCCCGCTGTGCCGGCCCCGCCCCTGGGACATGCTGAGACAGCAATTGAGACTGGGTAATCCCAGCTCTTGAGAGGCTGTCAACAGGCGGATCACTATGAGTCCAATCTAGTAGTGAGACCCTGAACACACTGTAGACCCTTCCCTAAAAACAGAAAAAAGAAAAAAAGAAAAAAAGAAAGAAGGAAAGAAAGAGAGAATGCTGCGGTAGCTCCACCCTTGGGTGCACTAAACCAGCCACCAAGACCAGGCATAGTGGCGCATGCCTGTAATCCCAGTGCTGGGGAGGCTGAAAACAGGAGGATCACTATAAGTGTGAACCGTGTAGTGAGACCCTGTAACAAATACATAAATTTTTATGAGAAAGTAGAAACTGAAACAAAATTAATGAACTTAAGTTGCTAAACTAAAACTGATAGTCCCTCTCAAACTTTGATGGATCTTTTACCTTTGCATCATTTTGCAACATCATACACTGATCTTTACAGAAACACTGATTCATTGAGCTATGTGGGTCTAACTTATTTTAAATCACGTTTGCAAATTTTACCAGTGTTCTTATCAGAAAATCTGAAAATTGGAAAGTTATCAGGATGAAATGATGACACAAGTTTTCTAAAATTCTAACTTGAAAGCTTCAAGTTTTGCATTCCTATCTATTGTTTCCTTTGAAGCAATCAGCCCACTTCATTTTCAAGAAAATGCCATAAAACCAGCAATGAATCACTAATTAGTTCATTATAAAAAGAAAAACTAGTTTTCTTACAATATTTATAGCTCCATAAGGTACATTTCGCTTTCCTCAAGACTACCTCACACTTCATTCAGTATTGAGAGGGTGCTATAAAAACACTTCCCTTTCCATCACACAGAACATTAAAAAGATTCATGCTCAAAAGTAAATGCCAATAAACCCAGTAATTTTTCTACTTTACTAAACACAACTGGCCTAAAAAAAAACCCAAAGAAACAAACTAGTACACATGATAAACAAGATGACTACTAGCAGTGTCTGGGGCCACTGCCCTTATGCCTACTAAGGCTCCAGCCATTCACCCACCACTGTTTTCTCCCAACAGTGCAAAGGTGAACACCACGAAAAGAGACAAATAATGTTAGCATCATTATGAAAATACTTTTGACCTAATACTTTTGACCTAAGAGAATCTCAGGAACTCTCAGGGAATGGTAGACTGCACTGTAAGAAACACTGCTTTAAAAGAAAGAATAAAGTCTCTTAAATTATACTAGTTGCACTAAGTCTAACTTCAATAAACTCCACAAATTCTTCCTTTATGCTGTTATAAACTGCTTTCAGTAATATTAATAGAATCAAATTAATCTGATTCAATCCTTCTTATGAAATGAAAATATAACATTTGCAAAACAATATAATATATACTTACACTACTAAGGGTAACTTATTCAAAAATATACAATAATATTGTAACTCCCAAAACTCCATAATGCAACAAAGTAAAAAAGTGTACTTACTGTAACACATCTTGATTTCGTGCTGGTTCATCTTGAAGTTGCTAGGAAGAAAAATGGTTTCATTTTTGTTCTTCCCAACTGATACATGATAATCTAATGCAACATGCCAAGAAAAATCACTTAAAAATATTTTTATGTCACTCTTAACTTTTTTGTTACAATACTTAATAAATTACCATCTTACCTATTTTTAAGTGTACAGTTTTATCACATTAATTTACACTGTTGTGAGACCATTATCATGATTCGCCTCCAGAATTTTTCATCTTTCCAAACTGAAATTCAACACAGGTTAAACACAAAATACGCATTACCTTTACCCCTCTTTCTTGGCAACCTCCATTCTATGCTGTGTCTCTAGGAATATTATGAGCGTAACAAGCACTGAAAAATGAAACTTTGAAAGTTAGTTTTGTTTTTTTTTTCTTCAGACAAGTGGCTTCTTCAAGCTTCCTTAAGCCAAGTATAAACTTTCATGCCTACTTCTCCTCAGCTCAGATGAATGACCAGAATATATAGGTGCTGACAACATCTGGTGGTACAGCAGCACAATGGGGGCTGTGAGGCCACTCCCTTCTACCTCTTGAATGTGGGTGATATCCCAAAAACTATCCTTTCATCTTTCTGAGAAAGGCAGAAAACACAGTAAGCCACCAACTTATGAATGAGTTCCATTCTGGGACAACACTTCTAAGTCAGGTTCATCTAAATCTGACAAAGTAGTCTTAAACACTTTTGGCAATGCATGTTGCTTTGTGCTTCCTACCAGTCCCCTCCACATCACCACTGCTCTTCCTCTTGCCCCTGGACATCCTGGCCTCTCATGGAGCACTGTCCTACCTTACATAACCACACTGTGCAGTAGGCACACAGCAGCATAATTGTGACAATGTCTATAAGACTTGGTAGCTACTTCTGCAATTTGTTGCATCTACAAATGTTCGTTTGTATCTGTGAAAATTTGCAAGTCAAATGTTTGTAAGTCAAGGACATACTCTTTAATAACAAAGACCCAAGAAATTTCTGAGGCTCTAAGTCAGAGCACATATATGTTAGATTTCCTCACACATACTAGATTATTAGATTGATCTTCAATAAGCTTTTCTCCACTCTAACCTTGTTAAAAGTTAGTAAATAAGAACTGTGTCTCATAAAGTAATTTGATGGATCTGGGACATGCGCGCCAGCTGAAATACCTTGAGATGACTTAGTGCTCTGTCAATCTTTCCTAGAGACTCAATGACATCTTTTAAAATCTAAAAGCCTGTTTTATCTGTGTGCTGGGCTTTTTATTTTCCTATCATCATCCTTTTCATTTCTGCTGGCATGGACCTGCCCTGAGCAGATCTTCCATTATCTTCAATAAATATAGCTTTTTCTTTTTATCACTTGTAATTTTTTAGTTGTCATACCAAGAACCTTTAAAAGAGTGAAGGTGTGGGTCCAGGGAAAGAAGAAAGCCTGGAAAAAATTTATCACTTTACTTTCTCCCTTCCCAACTGTTTATTGCAGTAAAAGACCACAATATACCCGTCTAATTTTTATGGTAGAAAAGAAAGCAGGGGTATAAGGAAATGTTAAATAATGTGTCTAGTTTCTCAAGAGAGCGAAAAAAGAGAGACAAACATTAAATGCTTCACTTATTCCTTCCATTCTAATTTTATAACAAATCCATAATCACCATGTCTTGGTTACTTCACTGCTGGGACAAAATACCCAACATTCACAAGTTAAAGGAGGAAAGGTTTATTTCAGTTGATAGTTTGTAGAGTTTTCAGTTCATAGTTGGCTGACTCCAAGGCAAGGCAGAATGACAGAGGGTAACTGTAGGGGAGAAAGTCTACAAGAAGGTAGGCAGAAAGTAGAAGCAGCAGCCTGCTTTCTTTTCTGTCCCTTTACATTCCATTCAAGCTACAAGCCTACTGGCTGACACCACCCACACCCAGGTTGGGTCTTCCATTATCCACACCCAGATCAGAACCATGGTAAAACAATTCAGTAATCCCACACCCTAGACCCAGTCACTTCCCAAAAGCCCCACTATGAGCACATGAGGCTTTGAGGGGCATCTAGATAGGAGCCATAATACAGCCAATGACTTACTTACTATCTGGTGATAAACTGTGAAAGACACATTCATTAACTCTTCAAATCTTGATATATTCACTAACCTTTCAATAATCCAGGCAACTGTTTCAAATGACTACCAGAATTACTCAGAAGGATTTAAAAACTGGACACTCCCAGGTTCTATCCAAGTATAGGTCTAGGAATACCTATTCTTTAAAAAGTAAATCAAAGCAGCTTGATAGTATTCAGAATCATGTGCTGAGGTACAACTGAGGACTTGGTATGACAATGAGATGGCAAACGCTTATAAAGAAAGTGGTATATGCTTCCATTTTATAGTTATTGTGATGCTAATTGAGGTATAAACTTAAAAATAAACAAAACAACCCAAACACTCAGCTGACTGGTTTAGCCAAGTTCTGGATATGACTGAAGGAAGATCACCCCTTGGGTATTAGCAGCACTAACCGAAAGGCCTGTCATGATTGGAAGGAATAAAAAGGAAAAGGCAGCTTGCTTCTGTTTCTGTAGAAGGGCTCCAATCCTCCCCATTCCCTTTGGAAGAACACTTCCAGGCTTTCAGCTTTTCAGCAGATTCTTTGGATTCCAGATAGACTCATGCAGGAAGGACTCTGCAGTGAGCATCAGGCCTCCTTTTGACTGGGTCCTTGACTGGATCTCCAGTACACAGATGGCTCCTCTGTATTCTTTGACACCTGGCTCTAGAGGGGGCCTACACCAACTATATGTTATTGAAGATAGATTTTTTTTCTTCAGTCAGAGTTGCAATACAAATTCTTGTATTATTAGAATCCAAATATAAATATTGGTTTCAAAAAATTAATGGATTTCTCTTTTTATCAGAAATCCACATAATAAACCTTCCTGGTATGA